ATGTTTTCAACCACAAGGATATATATATATTGTTGAATTAGAGAAGATTGTTGGATTATAAAATGATATATCTGATTAAATATAACTTTTAGGACTATGAATGAATCTCAATATGTAGCATCACCATTTTTAAAAATGTAACGTACCTTGTCAGACACGATCAAATAAACACACTTGTTTGACATGCCTCAACATTTATCCGACACATGTAGGTCTAATTATACCACATAGTTGAAGCCGTCACCTCTCTCATCATCTCCAAATTCTGCAAAATTGAGCATCAAAGCTGCATCTAATATTTTTCAAAGACGAGCACCCGTAGTTCTTTTTTTTTGTCAAAGCAGAGAGTTAAAGGTTCATTCTCCTTTCATCAAAGTTCAAAAATGGAGTTCTCTTTTGTTCATTAAAGTTGAGATCTTGCACCCACGAAAAATGATGTTAAAAACTTCTTTTTCACTACCTAAGCAGGGGTCAAACCTATTCGTTGTAGTCGATCCAAACACCCTGTGAATTTTGCCATGCTTGAATTGAAGCTTCTATTAATCGAAGGAAAGTGGAGTTAAAACTCCCCTCTATTGTAAGTGATAATTTATAGAAATTTTTTTTTTCTCTTTAACGAGTTAAGCTTATAAATCTATATTTATTCTAATTCTAAAAAAATAAATTTTAATTAAATTAACTTAATAAGATTTACAATAGCCACACATAATTCAATACCAACCAAGCCTAAGCTGCTTGTAACTTCTAATCATCTAACACCAAGGCTTGCCAAGTCCTCCATAAGATAGACTCTACTAGGCTTTCAATGATTAAGCTCAATGACCACAAAACTCAACTACTCATCCAAAATACTCTTTCCTCTCTAAACCATAGGCATGGATCGCACCATCACCAGATGCACAACATGATGTGATCCATGCCGTTGATACCAGACATAATATTTTCTCCAAATATTTACATACATACCAAGTCTTATAAAAGTATATATCTAATACCTAAAAACTATTATTTATATTTATACCAACCAAAATTTTTCAGATCACATAAAAAAACACAATCACATTTTAACTCTTAAAAAGTGAAATACATATTTTCAAGTACAAATAAGAAGGTATACATGTTAAAATTAAAGTTTAGGTATTAGAATAGGTAAATGCATGAGAATTAATTGGTATATATGTAAATCTTCCAATTTTATAATATTTCGCTACTTCCACACAGCGTTTCGAGCGACATGGCAAGATCTCGGACAAGGGATTCATCACATGCCCACGCTTGGCCCTACCCTACCCTACCCTACCCATTTAGGGTTCAAGAGGCCCCAGCATTAATGGAAAGAAATGGAGATTTTGTCAAGTTTGTCCAGGTAGAGATGCTACTTGGGAACTGGGAGGCTAATTCATTATTTTTTATGGATTAAACTCAAAAGTACTGTGTGTGACTTCACATGAGTTACAGTTTGTCTGGAAACTGTTAATCAGTAAGATTATCTTGCAAAAATCAACTGTGCTTACCCTTTCACAAATTACAGAAAGTGTCTTTGTGACTCATTTGGGGTGGTTCAAATCACACCGGAGGAACATAATTTATGAAATTTTTTTAGCATTCTATATCTAAAGAAGGAATGGTAATCGAGAAAGCTTCAATGCGACAACGAAGTTGGTCGAAGCGTGTGCGTGCGCATTAACATCACGATTCACAATCTGACCTGAGAGCTTAGAACTTTTAAGGTGGGAACAAAGCTTGTACTGCAAAATTGCCACTAACAGTTTACAATCTAAATAAAATAAAGAAGCAACTAAAGAAGTAATTTTATTCAACAAATAAAATGTTTAACTTCCGTTTGCAGACCTCGACTTCTATACACATTTTCCCACATCTTATATTCAAAAGCTTAAACTTGAAAACATCGAAACAAGATAATGGGTTATCCAAGATAATCTAATGGAGTAATTATACACTTAAACTACAATGTTTCAATGAAAAGAGAATAATATGAATATTGATTTTTCCTATATCATTATAGAGAAACATATAATAATCCAAATAATGAATTCATGATACTCGCTCATAAAGTTAATTTAAAATTATAATTTAACTTTACATTTTAAGGTGTAATCTATTCATTTTATTACACAACTTACTCCTAACTAATACATTCATTTTAGAAGCAACATCTAAACATAACCTAACACACCCATAACCGATATTCTGCATTCGACACAACAATTTGTGTTCTAAATTACATGATTATCTGAATGATTGGAAAACTACTACGAGAGCATGTACATTGGTGTCTCTAACTAGTACCATGAAAGGGTAAACTCCTCTTAATATGCATGAATGTTTACATGTGCATGCTAAGAACATGAGTTCACTTCCTTATGATACTGACTAGAGAAACAAATGTACATGTGCTCGTAAATGTTTTCAACCACAAGGATAATCATTTAATTTAGATAATAAATTGTTGTGCCAACGAAAAAATATCAACGAGGGATAAGTACTTTTATATCTCAAATAATCGTGTGATATAGGCCACGAACAACCGCGCCGATGGGATAATATCAAATTATCAATCAGAGTGTGCTAGATTATGTTTAGATAGTACTCCTGATACGTAAACTAGTTAAAAGTTAAAAGATTACACATTGAAAAATAAAGCTATAGTTAGTGTATATAAAATTCAAGATTACTTCTATAAATAAATATCATGAATACATTATTTAGAGTATAATATGTTTCTCTATAATGAATAAGCAAGACCATTATACACATTATTATTTTTTTTTCATAGAGTTACTGTAATTTAAAAGTATAATCACTCAATTGGTTTATTATGGATTTCATTAGATTGTTTTAACAATTTCAGTTTTAAGCTTTTGAATTAAAGATGAATACTTGAAAAGAAACTGAGTCCAAAAGACGAGGTCAACAAACGAAAAGTTAAATGATAAATCTTTTATTTGTTAAATTAAATTACTTTAGTGGCTCTTTCATTTTATTTGGGTTGTAAAATGTTAGTGACAAAATAAAAATTCAAAATTTTAATTCTATTGTACGATAGTCTATTTCCAATTGAAAAATTCCAAACGCTCAGGTCAGGTCTTCATAATTAATTGGTTTAAACTAAAAAACCGAACCAAACTAAATGGCTCAGTTGATGAAATCATGATTCAATTTTTGGATATAGGCTATTGGTTCAATTTGAAAAAAAAAAAAAATCTAGTTAAACTGAAAAACCAAATTATATTACAGAAAGCAAATCCATTAACCAATTGGTTTAGCAAATCTGTCAATCAATCTTAATTGATCGAATGCACACATCTTCATTAAAATTTCAAACTTCAGTTAAACCAAAATCGAACCGAATGAATAAATTGGATTATATTTCGGTTCATTTTGATTCAAAGATATATTTTATTTGATCAGTTCGATTTTGACTGTTATTTGATTTGATAAAATTTTCAACCGATCAAACCAAACCAACTGTTTACACAACCCTTGACATGGCAAATCAAATTGAATTTCTAAAGCAGTGAGGTTAGGGTAAAAAGAAAAAAAAAACAACAGATCCAATTGTCATGTATAAGCAGGAGAAAAAGTTTTGAACACCTCTTGTAGATAGTATGTAACATGATTATTAATATACATCATAATTGGAGATGTTAACTATGAGAGAAAGTTTAGTTGAATGGGATTTTACCATCCTTCTTGGTAGAGAATACCTTTGATGGAAGCTAGAATGTCGCAAACCGGCCTCGAATAATGGCTTCTGCTTTCCGCACCTCCTTCACAGGTCCAATGATGAAGACCTATGGGTTACACAATATGAAAATTCAGCCAAAGAGTTCATAAACTGCAAATAGATATTAGGAAGATTTACATACATACTATTCAATTCCTATGTATTTACATAACTAACACCTAAGCTTTAATTTTTACATATATGACACCTTATCTATGCATGAGAAAGTGTATTCCACCTATGAATGAAAAGGTGCATTCCACTAGTTAAAAGTCAAAATAATGGCATTTTTTATGTGATATTAAAGATTTGGTTGGTATACATGCAAAAATAAACTTTAGGTGTTAGATATGTAAATATATAGGAATTGGGTGGTATTACAAGCGAGACAAGGAAGGCTGTTTATACCAACGTTGAAACCATGCGGTAATTAGGCTTTTAGCGAAATTTGGACAACATATAACTATTTGTTATGAGGTTTTCAGATAATTTTATTGATATAAAGCAAACTTGTTTTCTTCAATATGAGTTCTTTGGCACCATAAAAGTTCAGACTTACTTTGTCGGGAGGACCCTTGGTTCCACCAGTTAAAATTTTTGCTCTGAAAATACACAGCGGAGTAGTTGAATAAATAAACAATTGAGCACTGGAAAAAAAATACTGAAAAAACTCACTCGCAACATTCTTTTATTGATTGAATAGATGCACCCTTTCTACCAATAACCAGTCCCATTTTTCCGGGAGGAACATCTACCACTGAAAGAATTTCTTCAGGAGGAGCATAACCTTCAGCAACAAGGCTATCTGGAAAGTCATTAAATAATTTCAACAGAAATGTGTTGTGCACATTTTGGATAATAAAATCCTCCTAAAATTGAAAGGAATAAAAAAATATTGATAATTTTGACATATAAATCATGCTAACGTTTTGTTTCTATGTTTCAGATTACGCTAATACTAAGGAGCAGAGTCTACTTTTACAAAACAAAGGAAATATGCATTCTCAGCCCCAAAAATATAATGGACATTTACATACATAGCACACAATTTTTATGTATTTATACATCTCACGCCTAATTGCCTAAACTTTCATATTTACACACATAACACTCAAATGTTTAAAATCACACAAAAAATAGCACTATTATAACACTTTTTAAAAGTGAGATACACCTTTTCAAGCATATGCTCAAAGCACCAAAGTGCCTATGTAAATAAGAAAGTTTAGGTGTGTGAAATGTAAATGCATAAAGAATTGTTTGCTTTATCAGCATAGTTATTTTTCCAAAATACCAGGAAGAGAAGGGGGAGGTGGCCAATCAGCATAGTTATTTTCATTAATGCAGAAACATCTGCAGTATAGACATCCACGAACAGCGAGATGCCACAAAGATTTTTGGTTCAACTTATCCATCATTTTGTGAAAAATATGCAGGAGAAAGCGGACATCATCTGCAGCTGTACGGATCATCTGGTCGGACATTGGTCTGTATGTCCAGAAATTAGGATCCTGTAAGAGAAAAAGATATGGAAAATTACTAAAGGAAAAAAACATCTACATGCTTCTATACAACACAAAGTTCAAGCTTGACCAAGCAGAAACTTTACAGCCCCACCTCTATAAAAGAACAAGAAAACCTATCCTCCAACTTAGGAAGTCCGTCAGTAATACAATTAATTTAAAAATTCCAGGAAAGGGAGAAATCATAAACAGCAAGAATGTGTTTTGTCACTTTAGCAGCACATATTACACCATACAAAAAAATGACAACAGTGCTGGCGTGATAATCACAATGTCAATACAACTCCACTGTGCTCTTGCGCAAAGTTTTATTTTGCTTGCAATAATAGAATTTTTCGGTTACTCGGTAAGAATAAGCTAGCACTGTATTGATGGGGTGAGAGAAAAAACTTCCCCCATTTTGAGTTCTGTAATTTCCATGTCATTTCTCAAGGAAAATGCTGGCCTTTAGGGTTATAAATATGCCACCCAATTCTTATGCATTTAAATGTCTAACACCTAAACTTGTCACATTTATACCATCCAAATCTTTCATAGCATATAAAAAATACCACCATTTTAAACTTTAAAAGGTGAAACACACATTTTCATGTATAGGTAAGGTGTTATGTCTGTAAAAATTGAAGTTTAGGTGATGGATGTGTAAATACATAAGAATTGAGTGCTATGTACGTAAATCCTCCAGCAATATTTCAACTTCTGGTCAGGGTTGCATTTTTTTTCCAAGTATCAATATTTCTTATGGCAAAAGTATCCATAGTTGCTTATTCATCCCTAGTGATAAAGAATTTAAGAAATTGTATAGTTTTTTAGGTAAATCCAAAGAATCAAAGAGCATCAGCTGTCATAACATAGCACCAAGTTGGTTAGGTTAGTGCTGCGACTATCTGCATTGAGGTCAGAGACCTTATCGTGAACATTAGCATTAGTTCAGGAATTTGTCATGCATAATTGTTTGTGATGGTGAGCGCTCATTAGGAGCCAGGGACCTGGTCTTCTCAGTGCTTCTCCAATGGATCAATGGGAGACATTATACCAAGGACATGATTCAATTTTAGAACTTGATTTTGTTAGAAAAGAGAACCCATGGCAAGTATGATAAATAAAAAATATCTACAAAATACCATGAAAAAATGAGTACTTTGGTAAAAATTATTTTTCCTTCATTCATAAGTTGGGCTTCTATAAAGCCTTACAACCTTTTTACAAATAACGCCTAAGTTTCTTTTATATTTCCTATTTACAATTAGAACCCTTAACAAAAGATCAACAAATATTATGCGCCATAAAATACAACATCAATCAGTACTAAAGAGCACCAAAAGTTACGAACTTAAGCACAAAGAAGCCTATATCTATACCAAAAAAAGTTTACATAGTACATCAACTTTAACAAGAATACACGAGGATTACACGTCATACAAAATATATGGATAAAGCATCACTTCGTAGAGCGACGAGAAAATGCAGCCACTTACTACAAAGGTGAGGTCTAGACATAGAGAGATTCTCTGTTGCTCCTGTTACTCTCTTCCTCTTTCTTTATTGTAGAAGAGTCCAATTGAGAATTATTCATTGTTCTGATCAAGGTTTTCTTCCTTAACTAAAATAAGACACAGACACTTAATCCATTTTGAAGAGGCCGAATAACTCATCTTGTAGAACACCAAATAAACTTTTCCTTTCTTTCTCGAATGATACCCCCTTCTTTCTCTTCCTCTTCCTCTTCCTCTCTTCTCTTCATTGCTTATTGTTGTCAAATGTTTTAACGCATTGCAACCATCTCTCTATATAACATTCAGACATATTTGACAGCAAAATTGAATTTAATAAAGCGTGAGTTTAGTAGGCCACCATATTAAAAAGTTAAATGTGAATGAAAAAAATCTTACTTTAGGTTAACTAAATTTTGACTTTACGCTTGACAAACTCCCACGGGGAATCTCAAATTTCAATATACTTATTTAGTGGTCCTGTCTAAACACTTCTTTACACGCATCTTGAGCAGTCGATCATTAAAATTAACTGAGGCTTTACAATACCATAATTCATCAGGGTTAAATTTGCGAAATGATCTTATTTTTGTGATGCTATTCATAATAAAGTTTTAGCTATCCTACAATACCCATTTGTTTTTTTAAAAGCTCCGACTTGACATAAATTTTACTTTAGGTTGCTCTTTCAAACTTATCAGCAATAGTTTCACAATAACTCATTTTTTGGTACTTAACATCACATATTAAATACAATTATCGCTTCCATGAATCATTACCATAGTTTATAAACTCGACAAATAAGCACATGATATTGCACTTTGAAACAGTCCACTAAATCTATTCTTCTTCAAGACAACCATTGCACCGTTATAGATTTTGAGGTAGACGACAACATTAGAAAATATATTCTTCAATACGAAGAACACTTGAATGCATTAGATTCTTCTTCAATCCAATATATACCAAACTCCAACAAACGATCAAATTACACCACCATGGCCCTTCAAATTCACATTGTCAAAATCTCCAATTTTGCACAAACTTCATCACCCATGTTGATACATAGACTATAACTTGACTCACACAGGAATAAGAAATCCAAATTAAAACACATGATTAAAATAAGCTGTGCCGAAAATGTAGTGTGATTTATATACTGTCTTCAATCATCAAAAGGGAATACCAATTTCATAGCAATATATATATATATATATATATACAAAAATATCTTATTAAATCAAATATATTTTATGTATATATATATACAGTAGCACTTGTATAAACTAATTTATCATTTTGCTGTTGTTACATGCATCTTGCTTTTTTTCCTTCAAAGCAAAACAATTTTTTTTTAATTTTTGTGAATTTTGAATAATGCTTTTCTCCTATGAATACATAGATAATTCACCTATAAACAGACGAGTACAAAAAATAGAAAGAGGAAAGAAATCTTCCTACAATTAAGTAATTCCTATAATTACGGAATAAACATAAATACCTATAATTAAAGAATTACCCATTTTATACTATGACTAAATATATCAAGTACTAAATAGAATTAAAGTAAATAATAAGGAGCGTAATTCCACACTCCCCCTCAAGGTGGGTTGTACAGATTGTACATGCCCAACTTGTTGGTTAGCTCATCAAAACTTGACTTAGGGAGAGCCTTGGTGAGAATGTCTGCGGTTTGGTCTCTAGGAGTATAGACCAATTCAATGATTCCATTGTCCACCTTCTTTGAAATGAAGTTCCGATCAATCTCAATGTGTTTCGTTCGGTCATGATGAACATGATTCTTTGCGATACTGATTGCTGCTTGATTGTCACAGAACATCTTGATAGAATTTTCTCCCATAATTCCAAGCTCTTTGAGAAATCTTTTGATCCACATTCCTTCACAGATACCAAGCGCCAATGCTCTGTATTCTGCTTCTGCACTACTCCGAGATACCACCGATTGCTTCTTGCTTCTCCATGTCACTAGATTGCCGCATATATAAGAGCAACACCCAGAGGTTGATCGTCGGATGGATATATCTCCTGCACAGTCAGCATCAGTGAAGACTTCTACCTTTTGACTATCATTCCTTTTGAATAATAATCCTTTCCCTGGTGTCATCTTTAAGTATCTTAAGATAAGGTTGACAGCTCCCATATGTTCGTCAGTAGGACAGTTCATGAATTGACTTACTATACTTACTGAAAAACTTATGTTTGGTATGGTGTGGGATAAGTAAATAAGTCTTCCAACAAGCCGTTGATATCGTCCTTTGTCGACAGGTAAACTGGTAAACTATCATTGGTAAACCATCATTCTCCACTCCAATCTTTTTATATGGGTCTATTGGAGTATCTATTGGTTTGCATCAAAGCAAACCAGTTTCTTTCAATAGGTCTAATGTGTACTTCCTTTGAGTTACGACTATCCCCATTTTGGATCTTGCAACTTCCATTCCCAAGAACTTCAAGTCTCCTAGGTCCTTGATTTCGAATTCATGGGCTAGAAACTTCTTCAGCTTTGTCAATTCATCAGTGTGATCGCCGGTAAGAATGATGTCATCAACATACACAATAAGTACAACAATCTTCTTCTCGAATCTTTTTGTGAACATTGCATGATCAGTCTGGCTTTAAGTATAACCACACTTGATTACTGAATTGGTGAATCGGGCAAACCAAGCACGGGGAGATTGTTTGAGACCATACAGAGATTTCTGGAGCTTGCATACTTTGCCACTAGGGAAGGACCCTTCAAGACCAGGCGGTAAATTCATGTATACATCCTCTTCAAGGTCTCCATTAAGGAATGAATTTTGACATCAAGTTGCATAAGGGGCCAGTTTCGATTTGTTGCAATGGAGAGTAGGATTCTAATGGAGTTCAGTTTGGCTACTGGGCGAATGTCTCTTGGTAGTCAATTCCGTATGACTGAGTATAACCTTTTGCAACCAGTCGGGCTTTTAACCGATCTATTCTTCCGTTTGCCTTACATTTGATTGTAAATAACCACCTGCATTCTACTGGTCTCGTATCCTTGGGCAAATCAGACACAATTCACATTCCACCCTTTTCTAGTGCAGCAACTTCTTCATTCACAGTTTTTCTCCATTCCGGGTGTGAGAGAGCTTCTTGAATAGAATTCGGAGCCTTTATGTTGTCAATAGCAGTAACAAATGCATGATAGGGAGGAGATAACCTCTCATATGAAACAAATCGGGCAATAGGATGTTGAGTGCAAGGAACATCAGAATCATCTTTCACAGGCGGGGTAAGCTCATAATCACTAGTGTCTATAGATTTCATACCTGAGTGAGTTTCAGAGAGTTTTGGAGCCGGATTAGATTCTTGGACAGCAGCTGGAAGCTCAACAGTTCTATTTTGTCTTGTATAGACCAGAAGTTCCTGAGGAGTGGGTTGTGTAGACTGAGGAGGTTGAATAGGAGATGGAGGAGGTTTGACAGTAGGTGAGGGACCCGAGTCAGTTGGTAA